AAGGGATCTGGATAACGTTGTCGCTTGGTGTAATATGAACATGCTAAATTTAAATATAAATAAGTGTCACCATGTCACCTTCACTAAATCCCGCTCTCCTATCCCAACTTCCTACCACATTGGTGGTTCTCAGTTGGGTAACCCTACTGAAATTATAGATCTAGGCGTGGTGTTTGACTATAGATTCTCATTTCAAAGTCAATTAAATTGCACGATAGCTAAAGCATACTCTATGTTGGCTTTTATTCGACGTTTCAGTTCAGACTTTTCTGATCCGTATACCCTAAAGTCACTCTATACCTCCCTGGTGCGCTCCAAGTTAGACTATGCCGCCGTAATTTGGAGACCTTATTACGCTTGCCATATCAATAGGGTTGAACGAATCCAAAAAAAATTTGTTCGTTTTGCCCTTCATTCTCTGCATTTTGTCCACCCAATTCCCTCCTACCGTGGTATATGTCTACTTATTAATCTTAAGTCTTTAGATTGTAGGTGGTCTATTCTCTCCCTTACTTTTGTCTATAACTTAGTACGTGGTGTCATAGACTGCCCATACTTGCTTGGACGTATCCATTTCGCTATGCCTCAGAGATGTTTGAGAAATCACGTAACTTTCTCCTTGGGGAAGGTAGGAATTCAATATGCTTCTAATGCTCCCATACTCAGGGCTCTAAAGGAATTCAACTTGCTCTCAAATTCTTCTGTTCTAGACTTTTCTTACTCGGAAACCCGTTTTAAATCAATATTAAATGAATTAATTACTTAGTTTGTTTTTCTTATTTTTAAGTCGTTGTAATCTTTATGAAATGTAATAATTTCTGGATTATTATTAAATAAATAAATAAATAAATAAATAAATAAATAATCGATTCTTTGATAGATTTTGTAATCGGTTTTTTATCGATTTTGTAATCGATTAAGTTATCGATTTTTCTATCGATATTATTATCGCTTTTGTTATCGATCTTTTTTTCTGAGTGTGTGTTCTGCAAATGTGTGTGTGAGTTTGTGAGTAAATTTAAAAATTAAGTTCTTTGAACCGTCAAGAATTTTAAAAGTGCCTCTCAGCGGTTCTACCTTACTATATTTTTATCATGGATAAAATATGAATTTTTTTTTTTGAGATCATGAACAAAAGGACGTAGTTTAGCTTCAAAACTTAAAATAATTTGAGACACATCAAAAACATTTTTATTCTGCAACCAACAAACACTAAGAAGAGGGCGATGAGAAGGCAACATTTTTTGTAGAAACGAAATCGCCGTAAATCAGCATAATGTAGGGAGACAGAGGTGGCGCAATCAGCAGTACCGCCACTTTGTTCTTGGCGAATTTGACAGAATCAGTTGTTCGTGTGACGTCATTTTAGCAAACTGTTTGTATGTGTGCAGAGATGTTTATATGTATGTAAATATGGCGACCTCCATGGTTTGACAGTTAACACTCTTCCTCTCCTCCATCTCCAATTACTCTTTCCTATTCGTCGCTATCTTGACGTCATCACCCGCAGGAATGCGCAATCTTGTATTCTATCATTCTTGGTAAGTCAGAAAGCCGATTTTCATTCTCCAATTGTATATAAAAAGAATAAAATAAAATTAAAAAGAATTTCCAGCAAAGAGATATGTATTTTAAAAAATAAAAAGAGCCAAAATGTTCTAGGCAAAGAGAAAGTAAGAAGAGCCGCACTTTGCTAAGCAAAGGGCCGCATTTGGCCCAAGCTGAAATTAGTCAAGAACGTAAATGCACGGGTACGTAAACCCGAGTCAGCTGACTCGATCTATCTTACCAGAATGCCATTTAAATGAAAACTCAGCAAAGCAGAATTTTCTGTAGTTGTAGCCCGTAGCGCAGAAATCTGCGGAATTTAGATTTTTTTTTAATATTTGAAATTTACTATCGAATAAAGTTTTTCTTTTGAAAAATAAGTGCTTTATATTTAGCTACGTTCTATTATAGCACGAAAAATTGTAGTTGAGATGGTAAGTGTACAAAAGGGATGGATGAGTGGCAACACTGTAGTAAGCAAAACTGAAGTAAACAGCTGGTTTCTGCGTATTCACGGCGGGTTCCAGTAATCAACAAAATTCTGCGTATACAGACAGCGTTTGAGTATAAGTTCTGCGTTCTTGACTAATTTCACCTTCAAAGAGTCGCGTTTGCCCACCGTTGTAATATTCCATGTGTACGTGAAATCCCCATCTCACCAGCTGGGCTATTTAAAAAGTAATAGACGAACATATTTTGGTTTTCCAATAAGGTTTACATTACTATCCAATCGAATTCAGGTTTTTCGACTTAGGCGGTTATTGCTTATGACCACAGAATTTACATTTTTGGGTGACACCTACATGCAATATTTTTGTTTTAAATCAGTCATGCCCAACGTCGGCAGAACTCCAAAAGCAAGTGCCCTGCGTTGGCAGAATTCCATATGCAAGTGCCCTGCGCTGGGCATGACTGTTTTAAATAGTTCTACTGTAATAATCGAAATACTTCCTAAATGGAAGTTTGGTAATTTACTGACAATAGGGTGGTACGTTAGGGTGAGAAGGATTGAGATGTATGGAGGGTATGTATTAGAACGGAACTCTTGAAGTCAATGAACTTGGAACAAAAAAATTGTTTACCCGAGACAAGAACATCGATATATCATACTTTAAGATCCGACTGTAAATGCCGAAGATATGAAGAAAAAATTTAAAAGGCGACCCCTACGTGCGGCCACAAAAAAAAATTGTTTTCGAAATCGCTTTGGATTCGAAGGTGTACGGCGAACTTTTTCTCTGGTATGGTGTAATATGTATATATGATTGAATAATAAATATTTATTATTTATATTATAAATATTATTTATATTATAAATATTAATTATATTATAAATATTATTTATATTATAAATATTAATTATATTATAAATATTAATTATTGAATCATGATATGTATGTATTTATGTATATTAGACTGCATCACCAAAAAAAGTTTCGGTTTTTCCGCCAGGATTACAAAATTTATGATATTTTAAGACGTTCGCCAAAGTATTTCGGAAAAATATTAAGATTTAAGTGAGCTGGACCGATTTGAAAATACCTCTAAAAATGGAGTTTTTTATAAATAAAAATAGTTTCTTAAAGAACTTTTTGAAAAAAAATTCCCTCAGATGACAAAACAGATTAAGCTTAAAAAATCTGCATAAAAATATTTAAAAATCTTTTCAACGGAATCGTAAGAATGAGATTTTTGATGCCGTTTTTTTTACTTTTTTCAAAGATTGATTTACAAAAAACTTGAACAACTGGGCAAAATCTATTCTTATTTAGACTTATGGGATCCCGATAGAAAGGTATTTTCACACTGTTTTTATTTCTGTCCAAAAAAAAGTCATCCGTGTCCCATTTTTTTTTCAAGTACCAACACATCTTAATTCAACTTTGAATGACGTTCGTTCACCCTACCTTTCTCTTTCATCCTTTTAATGAGTTTGTTATCAAAGAAATAAAAAGGGTGTGAAAATACCTTTCCAATGACACCTTTTAAGTCTAAATCGGAAGAGCTTAGCTTCAGTTATTCAAGTTTTTCATATACCAATCTTTGAAAAAAGTTAAAAAACGTCATCAAAAATCTCATCATTACGATTCCGTTTAAGTTTTTTTTTAATTTTTTTAAAATATTTTCATGCAATATTTTTTAAGCTTAAGCTATTTTATTCATGAAAAACTCCATTTTTGGAGGTATTTTCAAATCGGTCCAGCTCACTTAAATCTTAATATTTTTCAGAAATATTTTGGTGGACGTCTTAAAATATAATATATTTTATAATTCTAATGGAAAAATAGTACCCATTTTTCTTTGTATGGGAAGCGATGCAGTGTAATGTATATATATGTACACTTGTATACATATGTACACTTTTTAATTGACGCATGAAATAGTAAATTGTTCGCAACAACTGTTAAATAGTTTGTCTGAACCATGTGCCATTTACTTTGAAAGTGGCATAAGTCACTTCACACCTCTTTTAATTAAATGATTGTATGTGGGCCTTTCCGAGGCACGTAATAAAAGCGGCAAAACTGCAGCGCTGATGAAAATTTGCAGACTGTTGCAACTTCCCAATTGATAAAACGTTGCTAGAAATTGACACCGAACGTGATACTTTAATAATTCGCGCAACACTGCGGTTGTGATTGCAACTCGAACAACCCCTGTATGTATAAAATAAATTGATATAACCACATTATTTTTTACCGAACCAGAAGCGAAAGCTGAAGCTGAAAAGCCGCAGGATCCATCCGTTGCAGAAATAAAAGTCAACAAGAAGATCATCATCGAGGTGAAAGTAGAAAAGAAGCCACTTGGAGTAATCGTTGTAGGAGGCAAAAATAACCACGTTAAGGTAAGTCTAAAAAAATTTCTTAGGGCCGATTTCATAATAAGATTAAAGAATTCTTTAAAATTTAAAGGATGCTTTATTTGGCTGATCGATTTCATAAAGCCACTTTAAAGTTGAAGGTGCCCATAAAGGCTCTTTAGTTAAATACCCAAAATGGAAATTTAAATGACATAAAGGTCCCTTTTGTAAGAAAAAATAGTATGTCATTTTCGTAGCACAATTACATATTTATGAGAATCAGCTGATGCAATTTTGCTGAGATCAGCTATGCCAAATTTGTTATTTTCATTTAAATTAGCCTTTTGTTATTATTCAATTGCCTTTGTATTATGAAAAAAAATCTTGTTTAAAGTACATTTAAATTACACTTTAACTAAAAGGAAACTTTTGTAAAAGGAACTTTAAGTGTTTCATTGAGAAATTGGCTCTAAGTCGTAAGTTGTCGAGGTCCCTCCACGGTTTTAATGTAGCCACCAAAAATGTGATCGTATTTAGGGCCGATTTCATAATAAAATTAAAGAATGTTTTAAAATTTAAAGGATGCTTTATTTTGCTGGTCGATTTCATAAAGCCACTTTAAAGATAAAGGTACCCATAAAGGCACTTTAGTTAAGTACCCAAAATGGCAATTTAAATGACACAAAGGTTCCTTTTGTAAGAAGCAAAATTATGTATGTATTTCGTAGTATAATAACATATTTATGACAACCAGCTGATGAAATTTTGCCGACATTAGCATTGCCAACTTTGCTATTTTCATTTAAATGAACCTTTTGTTATTATTCAATTACCATTGTATTATGAAAGCACTTCTTGTTTAAAGTACATTTAAATGAAACTTTAACTAAAAGAAAACTTTTGAAAAAGGAACTTTAAGTGTTTCATTATGAAATTGTCCTTAGCCAAAATAAAGTCGACTTTAAAGTTAAAAGCATAGTGAAATAATATAAAGTGTAGCAGATAGCAATGACATTCTATTTCGGTACTCGTACTTGACAATTTCTTATCAAAAATTTTTCTTTGATTTGACTTTCACGTTAGCCCTTTTGAGTTAACATTTTTTTTTATTTAAATAAAAAATTTAATAATAAATGCCAAGAAATTCTTGCCGCCTGTACAAAAAAACGCATATCATTGCAGTACTTATGTTTTCAGTACGGAAGGATGAGGATCTAGGCCAAAATTGGACAGAGGCATGCAAAAAAAACCAAGGGTTAATACCAGAATTGAAAAAAAGCGAATACGAGAAAGGAATTAAAAATAACAAAATCAAATTTTGCTTTCAAATATGAAGACGTCAGTTACCTGGTACACTTTATATTATCTCACTCTGGTTCAAAGCAGCTTTTTTGACAAATATCCCATTGAAAGTTATATGAAAAGGCTGTTTTTAACATTAAAGTCGACTTTATTTTGACCATAACTACGGGCCATTGATTTTAGTTTCAAACCATTTCGCAAAATATAAAAGCCGCAAGTGTTACCGTAAATAAGCCTCACTCTGTTTCAGCCGAGTGTCAAAAGACCACAGCTCTTTAAAAAAAACAAATAGCTCAACACACTGAAACTTGTAGAACTGAATATCGATACCTGAGTGGGAAGATCGACCTCTCTCGGTAGACAGTTCGAAAACGCCCTATTTCAGAAAACTTTTAAAGAACACCCTTCTTCAGAATTGGATTGTAGAAGGCCCTATTTCAGAATTTGATTAAAAACGCCCTATCTGATAATTTTGTTGAAGAGCGCCCTATTCCCGCCGCCGATTCAAAAACGCCCTATCTCAGCCCATTTTCAATGTATTTTCAGCTGAGATAGGGCGTTTTTGAACCGAATTCTGAGATAGGGAGTTCTTTAATCTTTGGCGGCCTTACCCCTCTTCTATGTTAAGTTACAAAACTCGCGTGGGTTGAAAAATCAACTGTTTCTTTATTTCAGCTCTTTTATGCTTAAATACTAATTCTTATCCAAAACTAAGTTCAACAGTAATTTTACCTAACGGGATTGAATGAGTTAGAAAAACAAGTAGCTATGTATGTATGTTAATATCGATGTACTTATGTACGTAGAGAAGAAAATATTTAGTATGCAGGTTACAATATGAATAGGTAATAACGAAAATATGAATACAGTTTAATACATATGTATGTATACAATGCGTACATACATACTTCATGTGTACATGCATATGTAAGTAAAACAGGTGTACATACTTCAGGTGCACACACATATGTACGTGCAGATAAGTACATATCGCTAGCTTAGAGTGCAAAGTTGCTAAGTCCATTTTTTTCAATTGTACAGGAGACACAAAAAACGTTCCTAAGTAATTTTCTTTAAGTATTTTGCAAAACTTTGAATGCAATGTTTTGCGTTTTTCATTTACCCTTTATTAAAAAAAAATAATAAAAAAGTCTGCTGTTTTACAAATTTTGTAGATAATTTTGTGACTTAGCAAATTTTCTACTTTTTTCCTACAATTTTTTGGTTGGACTTAGCAAATTTTCCATGAATTTTTCCAATATGTACAATACGAAAAATCTATCTCGTAGGTACATTTTATGAAACCATTTTGTAAGAACAAATTGTTTAGGTTCTTTTAATAATAATAATAACACAAGGGAAAAGTGATTTTGTTGCATAAAATGTTAAAGCTGTTTTCGAATAAGACCAATTCTCGTTAAAAATTCTGGGTTCAGCAAAAAGGTTTGGTGCATATTATTAGATAATGAATCAGTTAACGCAAAAGATAAAGTCAAATATCATTTCTCGCAGCCCTTTAGCTTATCGTTAATCTCAAAGTTACCTCTTTTCAATAAAATTTTAATTGTTCTATGAGTTTCTGTAGTTTGCCGTGCGTATGCGCCGCGTTAGGGAGCATGCGTCGGTAGAAATTTAGCATTGCCATAAATCTGCGTAGCTCGTGTGCAACTGTGGGCTTCCGAAAATTCACTATGGCGTTCACTTTTTCCTCGGTCGGCGCGACACCATCTTTTGTTATGCGGTGCCCCAAGAACGTCACTTCGGTTTGCGCGAAAACACATTTTGTGACGTTTATTTTCAGACCATGTTTACGTAAAAGTTGCAAGACGATTTCTAAATGATCTTCTATAGTCGCTGACGCTATGCAAATATCGTCAATATAAATTATGACAAAATCCAAGTCAAAGAAAATCTGGTTCATGTAGCGCTGGAAAGTCTGACCAGCGTTCATGACATTGAACTCATACAGGCGGAACAGCGTGATTATTGCTGTCTTTTCGCGATCTTCCGGCGCGATCCTAATCTGGTGGTAGGCCCTCTCTAAGTCGATTAAGGAAAATATCGTTTTTCCACACATTCTCTGTGACAAATCTTGAATGTGCGGGATAGGGTAGCGATCCGGTTTTGAAACTGCGTTTAAGCGACGATAATCGCCACAAGGGAGCCACTCACCTGCTGTTTTCTTTGGGGCCATGTGTAACGGATGAGCCCACTGGCTGCTGCTAGGGCTAACAATGCCTAAACCTAGTTAGGTACAAATCGATTAAGTGGTTACCGAGGTACACCTTTGTAATTATAAAGTGGGCGGTGCTACGCCCAATTCGTAAAGGTCTATTGCAATTATTTATTGTTAGGAGATTGTTGTGGCTATTAACTTGGAGTAAATTAGCGTCCGCAGTTATTGAAATGTGGGAGTTTTCGTATTTCTGAAATTAACCGTTATACGGGAAGCTGGTTTAATCTTAGTCCGATTTGAATAATTTTAAACAAATTCGTTTTCCGTACCAAGGTTATTAAGTGCATCGAGCTTGGTAGAAATTGATAAATCGGTTACCAAGATACACATTTGTGGTCATAAATGGGCGGCGCCACGCCCATTACCCAAAAATTTGTATTCTAATTTTTCGATAAGTGGTTATTGTAATCATCGATTTTAAGTGAATTAACTCCAGTAGTTACTGATTTATCGCAGTTTTCGTACTTCTGCTTCCATTTTATGGAAGGTGGGCGTGGTTATTGCCCAATTTCAAAGATTTTCAACAGATTTGATAAAGATTGGTGAAGCGGCTACTGAGATACGGCATTTCATCATAAGAGGGCGGGGTCAGGCACATTTTCCAAGAATTTCAATTCTACTCCACATACTAATTTTCAACAATTTGCTCCAATATTTACTTAAATATCGCAGTTTCTCGAAAATACCGTTATATAGGAAGTGGGCGTGGTTACAGTCAGATTTCGCCCATTTTCAATACCAACCTACCTTGGATAAAGGGCAACCTACACACCAAATTTCGTTGAGATATCTCAATTTTTGCTGGAGTTATCGTGTACACGGACAGACGGACGGACAGACAGACATGGCTTAATCGACTTCTCTTTCATTCTGATCATTTATGTATACATTTGTCCATATCTATCTCGATTCGTTTTGGCTGTTACAAATAACCGTTATGCGACCAAAGTTAATATACCCTTGTGCACTAAAAAATCGAAAATATGCGAATATAATATGCACTCAAAATTCAGAAATATGCGTTTGTTTACATTTGTTTCTTTAGTGTTTTCATTTGCATAATTTTTATTATAAAATTTAACAAATGGATACAGTTGAAATATGGTTTATGATGATGATGAGCAGGGAACGGATTTTTAGGACCTAAAAACCTATAAAATAGGCAAAATAAAATAACGAAACAGGCTACAAAGGGCAAAATAAAACAGCGAAATGGGCAGGAAAAGTCAATATAAGTCGCAAAAAAAGGCAAAAAATGGCACTAAAAAAGACAAAAACCGAAAAATAGTCAAACAAGTAATTTTTAAGTGAAAAACAAAACCGACTTCAATTATCATTTTTCGTTAATCTCTTCATGATCCGATGATCGGATTTAAACCACATTAAAATGGGACCACCTGTGAGGTAACATATTTCCTTAAAAAAAAAAAGAATTATAGAAATCGGTTGACTTGGTCGAAAGTTATGCGGTAACATACATAAAAAATATTCCGACGAATTTGTAACC